TAAAGTCCGATGACATTGTTTTCCATCAAAATGCACTCATAAATAAATATATGGAAGAACCTACCTGCGTCTTCACTAGCGTGAGCTAAACAGCCTCGATGACACACTAACGAGCGAGAAATCACATACTGAGAAACCTCAAGTACGACTATGCAATGATGACATACAAGTTTACATGAGAGTCAAGACAATTCAGAAACACAATACACTCATGGGATATACAATACCCTTTCCTCCACAATTGACAGAAGACTGTATTTCATTCCCATGATCACCACAAATGAAGGGAACTCACAGGCGTATCCCAATAAAAGCAAGCTTGTATCAGATTACTTCTCTTCTTTGTAAGCTGTAGACAACTCTCGGCGTGCTCTCTTTCAATATCACTCACAATATATCAGATGTTCCGGAGCATACGCAGTAAGGAGAAACTAGAAAGGCACTACAACATGGCGTGGCGAACCTAATACTAAATTAGCTGTCAAGGCTCATCATTCTCAACTACTGCATGAAGGCACAGTAACTTGACACCGACCTGTGTAATTTTTGACACTGATCTCCCCCCATTATAACGGACAAAACTCGCAGGTCCCGATTGTTTTTATAGAGTTCCGTACGTTCATAACCCCCCTCCGAACGGACCAACCCCTCGGCCCTACTCAACTTTTTTCTTCTCTCCTCTCCGTCTCCCCGCCATACACGCCTATCTCCCACTTCTTTTCACAAACCGCAGAAAAAACCCCGCGTACGGACATTTCCACAAAAGCCCCCTGCAGCGAATTTAAAGTTACAACAAAATCAGCTTAAGGACGCCCAGTGGGTTGGCGAAATGCTTCCAAACTAATTCGTACTAGTGCCGTACTAGTAGGCGAATGCATGGGCTTTTGGCGAGCAGATCGAGCCGAGCCATCCTAAGCACCGTGTATAATCGCGTTATCCTGACGGCCCCGCCCCCGCCCCCCCCCCCCCCCGCCCCCCCCCCCCCCCGCCCCCGCCCCCCGCCGTCCGCCCCCCCCCCGCCCCCCCTCCCCCCCCCCCTCCACCCCCCCCCCCCCCCCGCCCCAACCCCCCTCCGCGCCCCGCCCCCCCCCGCCCCCCCTCCCCGCCGCGCCCCCCCGCCCCCCGCCCTCCCCCGCCTACCGCTCCCCCCACCCCACCCCCCACCGCTCCGCCCCGCTCTCACCCCGGACACACCAGCCGTAGCACACGCCTCCATATGGCACCCGCTGCACTGATGTGGTGGTAGATGGGAGGGGCGGAGCGCCGCCCACCCCCCCCACCGCGACGCCTGTGTGTGCTGGCTGGGGCGGACGCTCCCCCGCCCCCCGCCGGGCGACCATTTCCCCCGCAATCCCACCCTCACCCCTCACCATCCACCCGCCTAGCCCAAAAAACAAAACCAAGCTCAAGCTACCCCGCCTCGCGCCCCGCCGGCCGTCCCGCCCCACGCAACGCGGCCCCGCCGGCACCCCACGCCCCCCCCGCCCGCGCCCCCGCCGCCCCCCCGACCCCCGCCGCGCCCCTGGGCGCCCTCCCTCCCCACGGACCTCCTCCGCCACCCGGGCCGCGCGCCCCCCGCCCCCCCCCCCCCCCCCGCCCCAGCAGCAAAACGCACCCCACCCTTGCCCCCGCCTTCCCAACACACCCCCTTCCCCCCGCCCCTGCTCACGCCTCCCCGAGGACTCCGCGCCCCGCCTCGGCCCCCCCCTCACCGCCCCCGACACACCGGCGGGCGTATAGGCCTAAGCCCCCCCCCCACCCGACTGCCACTGGGTCCCCGAACCCCCGGGGGCCGCCACACCACCCTAGGCCCCATGGCCGACTCGCAGCGTGGGTGGCGGCCCTTACTACACCCCCTCCCCCCCCCCCCGCCAGCCCCTGCGCCTCATCTCATACCTTCCCCGGCCTGGACCGCTGACACTCCGCCCCCCACGACCCCCGTCGCCACTCCCCCCCCCGGAACCCCACCCAGGCCGCTCGCCACGACCCGCCCGGCGAGGCGGGGCCAGGCGGGATCACAGACCCCCCCCCCGATGCGCCGCGGTCACGCGCGGCCGCCCCACTCTTCAGGTACCCCCCCCGCCCCCCCCCCGCCGCCCCCCGCCCCCCGCCCACCGAGCGTCTCAACTAGCGTCATACGTTGGGATTGGTAAGAGGTAGTAAAGAATTGGGTCTTTCCTCTTCTCTTCCCTGCCGTATGCCTTCTTTCCTCTACTTCCCCGCTTTTCATTCTCGCCCGCGTCCTCTCTCCTCGGCAGACTCGGTGGCAACTCTGATGTTCATTCCTGCGTAGTAGCACCTTAACTACAATAACTTAGACAGAGTACACTGGATGAGTACTTTCTATAGACTTTGACTACTGTCATCATCATCATCATCATAATCTCGTTTAATCTTGTCTAGAGTGCTTTTAAGGATGTTGTAACAGTGAATTAGTGACATTAAATTGTGTAATACTGTATAATCAGGCAAAACCCCTCCATAAAGGACACCCCGCTATAATGGACAAAATGTTGTGGCTCTAAGTTGTCCGCCTTAGAGGGGTTCCACTGTAGCGGGTTTAAAGAAGAAGAAGACGAAGAATAATAATTATGATGACACGAAAATCGTGAAATCGCGTATGAGCGAATTCTCCCGTGGACGACTGAAGGTGCGTATGAGGTCTTGGGGGACATGTATAGGTAGATATGGGCCCGTAGACTATTGCTAGTATGTTTTGAAAGCCTAGGGAGTGATTCTCACTGAGTTTTTAGTCGTTTTGTACGCGGATTACGTGAGATTTCACCCACGTCATCCCTATATAGAGAGTCTGCCGACTCTCTAATGAGGACCCTAGTTTGATTCTCAACACCTGCAACCCATTCGCTTGCTCATTTTCCATAAAAATTTTTAACCAACTGAATCTGAAGGTCAGCAAAACCCGCAAAATTAAGTACTGATCACATTAAGGTAAAACTCAGTATTATAATTATTCAAACCTGGTCCAAAGAAGTGAGGATAGACCTCTTCTCTCAGACCAGTCACACGAGTAACATAGGTGTCAATTTCCCCCAGTGCATTGAACGTTTCCAGAAGTCGAACACCTTCATATCTATAGAAAGAAAGGCACTGTAATACTTTTGCCATAGAGTCAATAAATTCTCAGGTCTCACAGTCCAGTCTCAGTGCCATCAGTGTCAGCTATCCGGATGGTACTATCAGTATAGTTGACCGACTCATTTAGGAGTACAATTCTACTAATGAAGCGGAAGTCTCCCCCTGCTTGTCTCTTCTTACGACGCCAAAGATTGTGCTGCAATGACAATAGAAAATGCAGTAGAAATAACAACAGTTGTGCCCAACACACATTACTTGGAAGGTTCGAGCAGGTATAACTGACATGACAGAGTGTATAGTCAGACTAAAAACAGCAAGTTTTAATTTGATTTTGTGTACACAAACAAGATTTGTCTTATTGTATTATTTTGACGTAACAACTTCTTAACTCACAAAATTTGCAACATCTTCCCTCATTCTCAGGCCTAAAGGATATTCAGGGAAAATATCCTTGTAGGTGACATCAGAGTAAGTGTCCCGCCTCCTTCTTCCACGACCTTCATCTTGAGCTAAATTTTAAAAAAGCAAAATCATTTCTACTCCCACACGGAATTATTGACTAAACACTCCTTTCCCCACAAGCTTTAAACATTAATTTAGAGGGCCATCTGTGTGTGTGAACTATGGAGTTTTGTATGGGCGGTATCCTGGAACACTGGATGCTGCCGACATGTAGCTACTGTGGTGTTAACTGCACGACAGCTACATTTCATGTTAAAAATATTTCCACGTGAAGCAAGCTTATGCCATGAAAGTCTCATGAACTGCAGTGGGATTTGCTTGTGACTGGCAATAACCATAAAACTACATTCAACTGCTTGCTCCTTTGGTGACACTGCACAGAAAAATGTATATTATACCTATCAAATACTCAAAATTTCACAGATGCCCATTTATACATTGTATTGGTCTAGTACAACATGTTGCATTACTGTTATCGTGTGGCTGCAGTTCCCCAGCATCACTTCCAGCCAGACACACAGAAGAGTTAAAATCCATTGGTGTTAAACAACCTGTGGAGATACTTAGTCATCGGAAAAGTTACAACAGTATCAAAGATACTTACTATACACTATAATGTAGACAGTGTATAGCATCTAGTCACCTCTTCGATCCCTGTCAGCCTCTCTAAAGCAGATGACGTACATCTCAAAGCCACCAAATTTCTTTTCTTCACTTGTGCGGAAGTAAACAGTGAAATTCCCTGTCTCTAGCTCTGACATGGAGTCATTGGAAGTAGAGTTGCCACATAACTCGGTAGTTCTGGACATGCCATGATCAATTAGGATGTAGTCCTGACACCTGTGGGGTGAGGATGCCATAGGTAAAACATTCTTCCATTAATGGAAACCTGACTGCTAGAGAAGGTACGGACCCTTCTGCCACTGCTAAATTAATGACTGAATAAGCTAGAAAAGACTGCTATAGAACCTAGTTACATTCAGCTATAGATACCTTCTTCCATTAAACTGCTAAAAATAGAGAACCTACACAAGAAAGCTTCTTCATATTGAACTTTGCAGGCACCAGGTGTTATATCCCAAATGAGGCTCTGGACAAATTGGTGTCCGTGGCTGAATATGTCGTGCTCTAGCTCTTAACTACTAACATTTGTTTTCCATTATACACACAGTCTTCCCTTCCCTGTAGGTCAATTTCCGTGACCTCATAGAATGCTAGTCGGCCCTCGTCACACTTAATGTTGTACTGTCCAAGGAGTTGATTGTCATACCTAAAGAGGACAAAATAACACAAGCAACAATCACTTAATCATCACAGTCATCATCATAAAAGCTTACTCTTCCCCAAGAATAAATCCGGGGGAATATATGATCTTTGTGTGAACTGTGCCAACAGTTGTAATATCTCTGATTTGCTCATTTCTACGTTTCACTCGACAACGTATTCCACCTGCACCATCTCCTTCCAGTTTTGTGTAGTGAATTGAATATTGACTGCATTTTGAGAGTTAAACTTACATTACAACATATCTAACAAGAACAAATTAATCCTTTACAAGCCACGGACATATAAATGTATGTCCAAAGGCTCCACAAGTCAAGAAAAATTTTTATGGGGCTATAACACTTAGGTGCTAATAATTATGTTATACATCAATTTCTGCTTATTTAAGGAGATATGTCAATGGTGTCCAAAGTTAAAGCTGCATGAAGAGCACAAACAGATCTTATGAAAAGCACTAAAGTGCAAACCCTCGGCGAAGTAGCTCGCAGAGAGTCTGACACGGGCTAGCTACAGTAGTAGATAGCACGCGAGAGTCGATACACGCCATCCGTTGTGACTTCTTGTGCCTTCAAGATAGACAGAGCAAGCGGACAGGCTCGAGGTAAGCCTGTGCTAAATATAAGCGCATGCGCATTATCCGCCAGCGATAAAATGGCGACTACCGGCATTAGCCATACAAGAGAAAACCGCCTTTATTTTCTGACGTTCATCGCCCGTTGGGTAGATGGTATCGTTTGTGAGACGAACAGACATTCGAGAAGTGAGATTGAGAGTAACAGACACACAGACAAACCCAACTACAGTACCCTCGCTGCGCATGCGCGCCGAGGGTAAAAATCATCTCTGAACTAACAACACACTTGTTTTCTGAGGCATTCCTGATCCTCGGATCTAACTTTTTACAAGGCACATTGTCCAATCTACTCAGAGGACATCGAGGAATCAGCTGCTGCGACAGGCTGCAGTTAAACACAACAGGAATCAGAATGTCATGTTGATGCTCTATGCTAATGGTTGGTCTATGAGTGCAATATTATGTTCACCGCTTTCATTGGATGCTCATGTCTACAGATGGCACAGGTCACTCCCATAATTCAAGCTCAGCAATGCTTAGCCAAGGTTGCTAAACTACTAGTATTACATTAGTAAACTGATTAAACTGACATACCTAATAAGTTTGCATTATCCCATAATGGGGGTGCAGTGTACACACAACTCCATGGCCATGAGAACACCCCTAACCCTGTCAACACCCATAGCACACTCTGACTGGTAGTAGCTATTTTTCTTGAGTAGATAGCTCAAGACTCACCCAATAACAGCGGTCAGAACAAGCAGAGTCAGAGTAGTCTCCATTTATCTGTTCACCACACAGACACCTGGCCACTTCCTATATATGGCATCAATAGTGAGTACTCATTAAATTTAACCCTCAGCGCGCATTTTTTGTAAAACATGCCATGCCTATTCTTGTTTGGCTTGCAGTTTTCTGCCACCGCGCGCACGAAATCAGGTAAATAGCGATATGATCGGGTTCAGTGCTACACTGGGTTGATTTTAAAAAAGGCGCTTTTCGTAAAACTACTGCGTTCTGAAGTTATGGCGTGTGAACAAGCCAATTGGTAATTAGCACAAACTTACATCGACTGCTCTGTGTATCTTGAAGGCACAAGAAGTCACAACGAAGGGCATGTATCAACTCCCGCATGCAATCTACTACTGTAGCTAGCCCGTGCCAGACTCTCCGCGAGCTACTAGCGGGATACAACGAGTAAAAGCCCAGCCCATCAATTAGTGGTACCGCGCATGCGCAGTTCGCCGAGGGTTTGCACTTTTCATTATAGAGGGTCGCAAAACGGAATCTGAGAAATGACGTGGAAATCTGGAAATCAGTTGGAAATCATGGGCTTTTGGAAATCTCGTACGTCATAACGGCCCGTGTCGGACCCCTCGCTCACGACACTCTTGGTAAGCGCTCTCACTACCAGCTGTGCTACGAGGTCATCTCAGGAGTAGGGGTTCAATGAAACCTGTGCTACGATCAGTATGACTCCTAACTTCGTCGCGGTGGCGCCGGCGCCCGACCCGGCCTAGCTCCTGCTGAAGCTAGATTGAGAAGGTGTGGCTAGGCTACCCGCACAGCAGGCAATTGGTGAGGTGCACGAAACGTCCAAAAGTGTGTATCGCTAGAGCCTAGGCCCAGGCAACTGATACCTCCAACAACGCAGGGACTGTGATCCAAGAAGCCCGAGAGGAGATCACGAAGAAAATATAATAGGTTGGATTTTTCTAGCAAATGCCCTTGGGGAACTGCTATATAGCTACTACAACTAAATACGCGCCGGTGCGTACCGATTGGGCTACATTCCGTTCGCGTGGTTTGCAAGTCTGCTACCATCTTCAATTTGAGCCAACCCCTCAACTATTCAAGAAAGTAACGTCGTTCTATGTCTACTAAAGGCTGCTTTAAATATTGTCCAAATGCAGTTAAGGTTACACGTGAAAAATATGAAGAAGAGTTTAAACTATTAGCTTTTTTCTCTAAATGCTACAGTGCAAAAAGCACAGCAGATATTTCGTCCTCTGTAAAATATAGACTCCAATGCCTCCATGAATCTTTCTTGTCGGCTCCCGCTGGTTTAAAAGTGTTAGACTATGGCACAGGGCCCGTCATTTTGTCAACGATATCAGCTGCTACTAAAGCATCCGAGATTGTACTGGCTGACTATACGTACAGCAGTCTAAAATGCCTTCAGCAGTGGTTGAATGATGAGCCTGAAGCACTAGATTGGTCGCCACATTTTAGTTATGTTGTCCAGGAACTTGAAGGGAAAGAAGAACAGGAAGTTGCTAAGCGACAAAAGAAAGTTCGACAGCTTGTTAAAGCTGTGGTTCACTGTGACATTAATGAAAGTCCTGCAATTGAAAAGGGTTTTGATTATCCCTATGATATTGTGATGTCTTCTCTTGTACTTGATGCTACTGCAAGTACTGAGGCCGATTACCGCTCTAGTGTGTCTCGACTTGCTCAGCTAGTGAAACCAGGAGGTTCTTTATTTTACTATGGTGTTAAAAACAAGCAAGGCTTTTACACTGTCGGTGAATGTAATTTCCCTTCCCTTTTTGTAAGTGATGAATCTGCAGTTAAAGCCTTTAGAGATGCTGGATTCAGCAATGTTAATGTCAGCCATGCTCCTGATATTCTTCCTGGTAAATCATTCAGGTTTATTAAGGGAACACATGTTTAGTTTGAAATACCCTGCTTTGTTAATTTATTACTGTTATAATTATTGTGTGTAAAGTCACCAAATATATTTGCCTAAAATATTTATGGTAACTAAGAAATTTTGCTATATAATGCGCTGGTGCAATGGAATGTGGCAGTATAAAAACATAAATCTTGCAAAGGGGCCTATTTTTTTTTCTTCGTTAGAACGGCTTCCTACCTTAGCCATTTACGTTTTGCTGAGTATTCTTGGAAAACCATGATAGATTTATGTGATGCAATTTAAGCCCTAAGAGACGCACACTCGACGACAAACGACCTTTTCTCGTTGCCCTGTCACCACATTGCTATTTAACACCAAAGAGAAATGAAAGATAGAGATTACAAGATGTAACTCTAAAACTCGAGAATACAACAGTATACCTGGGAGGTTAATATTTCGCTTGCAATCCAAATGCATGTGCACTAGGACAAGTGGGTAATTTTTCACTTAGAACCGATACAGTTGCAGGGAAAGAATGCTATATGAGGACACACACGAAATCTTTGAAATAATTGATATTACCCTATTTTACATTAAAATCGAAAATCTGACCCCTTCAGATAATTTTTTATGTCCAAGCTAGCTACATCTATCAGCTGCGCTCACCAGAAAGTATTTATATTGCTCCCATGGTGTATATAGGTGGATGCAGGGCATTTTTTGGTTAGCGGAAGAATGCCTACTCTTTTCACAATACAACTATTAACATTCCTGTGTGCATTGGAGCTTCATGCATAGGCAAGGTGTGGTTAACAACAACATGGTAGCTGTCCATATGATAGAAGCACCAAAGAGCAAAACCATCGGCACAGAATAACCATGTTCCTGCAGCAATAGAAAGGTTACCTTTGGCGGAATCTTAGATCTTCGGCTATGCGGATATTATAGCTATAATTTATAGATTACTGGGGACATGAGGTCACCACGGAAAAATGTACCACATTAAATTTCATGCTACAGGGTGGTATAGTACAGGGCAGAATTTCATTACCAGAAACAGGACCAATCCAGCATATTTCCTGCTGAAAAGTAAGAGGTTGCATTCCAGGTTACGCTGTACCAAGGTAATAGGGCATTTTCCCTACAGCCGAAAGTCCACATGCAGGGTACGAGTCGGTACCCCAGGACACACGAAGAGTTCACATTTCATACAGCCAAAAGTCCACATGCAGTGTGCCGTGTGTGCAGTTGATTGTTCATTGTCAGTAAGCAGGAAATAGAACTATAAGCACTGATGGTATGTTACACTACCACTGATGTAGGAAACGAGGGTCCTAGAAACAACACCAGCTGTTCAGTTATGATAACACAAGCATCAGCCTGGAGAACACCAGCTGTGCTGTATATATGACAATGCCAGGCACGGTAGTACTGTTGTCCTACAGTAACACAGGACGTAAAAAGGGCACAACGCAATCATTTCCCTATAGCTCATACTCTATCAATGAATAAAACTGCAGCATTTAGAGATAAGTAGCCAGCACCTTCAGCTCTCTCAGAAAGCGTGATAACACCACGGAAATGGCAGCCCAGTTATTTTGCACTGTGAGAAAGTTAGCGGGTATGGGTTGGGCTAGGCTACTAAACCGCACGCGACTGAATAAGATATAGCTAGGTTTTTAGGCTGTTAGTACGACCTCGAGACTCTTCTCGGACACGGTTTGCATACGTAGCTACTGGCGTGCGGTTTAGTAGCCTAGCCCAACCCGCTTACTTTTTCGTTCAACCGGAAGTAAGCAGTCACACTACTACGCGACGCTCTCCCCAGAAAGAGCGCTCACCGAGCGAGCCGAAAAAGCGCGATTTACGAGCCTATAGGTTCATGTATGTAGCAACTCGATTGGTTGCTCGCCATTCGTCCGGTAGAGTTTAATAGTATCGCGGGCACCGGCACATCGTTGTGGCGAACCCCCATACTTTACTAATATGTGACATACTACAGCTAACGTGCGTCGGAGGCTAACGCCTAGTGCTGGAATTGCGCGTTGAAACGGCCTTAGTATAGCGGAGTTGAGCGATTTCCTACCAGCAAAGTGAACGCGAGCCGACTTATTCCGCCAGTACTCAGAATTTCTTGCAGCTGGATCTAAGGAGCCAAAGGACATCAGTGAGTGCAGAACGTTGCTAAATTGTGTGAATAAGCTTAGCTTGACATGCAAGTTGAACCAGGGGGAAATTTTTTTTACAAATGACTTTAAACATACTCTTCCACCGTACAAACAAGTACGTGAATGGTATAATGTATACGAGGGAGAGCTGCAGAGAGAAATGGAAAATATCCGGGTTCCGATTCTGAAATTGGCACATACTACCCATAACCGTGAAGCTCAATGTATAAGCCAGGGAAATACTTGTGAGTTTAAGGCCAGACAAAAACTAGGAAAGCCTGGCACAGGTTCTTACAGATGGAATACCGATCATTTTGATCATGTTGATAATAAAACGGTTTTACTTAAAGGATGTTACTCTTGGTGGACTTCATACGTTCACAATTATAATGTCCCAGATGATCATCCAAATGCCGAATATTGTATATCTCCTGCTAAAATTAAAAGAGACATTCTGGACCACAGTAATGTTAGTGTGTGTGTTGCAGATTTCTTGAAGTATCCTTCTGAGTGCATCTATGGAAATCGCATTTTCAACTGTGATTTTGTTGATCTACTCGATGCCTATGCTAGATCGCGTAATAGTGAGCACCTTTTTGTTAAGATTGGGGGTACATTGAGGTACAAACATGTAAGTTGCTATGTCCTTATAATTTGCACTGATGGCGATCAAGATCTTTCTGATATTCCCCCACTTAGCTACCGCTAAAAATAACTATATTTTTGAAAGCAATGGCCTCACTAATTTTGAAGGAAGAGTCATTAATCGCCAGGCAATAGCCAATTTTCATCCACATCATATCATCCAATGGGCCGAAGATAAAAGTTACTGCACTGCAGAAGCTGCTTTTGTGTTTTATTTTCCTGAACAAGCTCTGATCGTGGAGCATTCAAAGTGTGAGAAAGCAACTATTGACGCACATACCGAGGAAACTTGTTTAAGAAAGGTTATGGGAAGGTGTCCAAACCAACTTTAACTCATGATGTATAATATATATATATATTGTTATTGTAGCATTTCAGTTTGCTATTATAGAGTAAGCTTATAAGTCTTATCCTAACTACGCCCAACATCAGAGCCCACTACAGTTTGGGGTAAGGATATCTGACAAAGGTGCACCGATGTGATGCGCGAACTTCTCGTATCGCTGGGATTATTTGGCGCCTATCGCTACCGCCCCCACTATCCAATTGAGGACACTAACCTTCGATGGGTGCAGCGCTAAATATCTCCAATGGATTGGTAGTGTGCATGGCCTTGCAAATTGGTTGGACGGTGGCCCCTGATCGGCGTGGCGTAGTGGTAGCCATGCGCGGCATAATTGCCTACAGACTGCCTGCAAATCTGTAAGTAGATGGCAGCACGTTGCTGTGATGGAACCACCCAATGTCTACTGGAATGTCTACTGGCTGGTCGAGATCGGCGGACTAACACCGTCTTATATTAGATCACGAGGCTCTAGCAAAAAAAACGTACGGGCCCTTGCTTTGTCACTCTGGAAACTTATCATTTGTGCGTAGGTTGACCAAAAATTCGGGCTCAGGTATATTATTATTGGTGATTGTAATGTCCGGTAATACATAACCACGCCCATTTTACCTGTGCCGCGGCGCACGCAGGTTTTTCTTTTGTTTTGTTTGTTCTGTCTTTTGCCCTTGTACTGTTTGGGTCAGGGCAGCCCTTTCAACGCGCGCACATGCGACGCCTTCTTGTATCGCGAGTGAGGTTAAAATTAACGCGCCGTACACCTACGCGTAAGGCAGGACGCCACCATTGTTTGCTCCCGGGGAAGTGGCGAACTGGGTTTCCCTCCCATAGAGAATTTGCGGAGGGGGGATCTAATTAAAAAAGGTGCCATGCGACGAATACTGCCCACGGCCGTACCTATGAATACTTTTTGGAAAAGTCACCAGTCATCAACATGGAAAATAATAATTGGCAGCGCCCAGCTACGGCGGCCGAGCTGTGCCCGACGACGACACTGCAAACTGCCGTTTGCTTATAGACAAGAATTGCGGCGAACTGGCGTAGGCTTTCGACATGTATCCTTCGACTTGTTGCACAATCTATAATTATTTTAAGCATCATATATAGCCCACTACTGTCCCCTGCAGTCCAAATGGGCAATATATATACAAGGGTATGGATGGTTACTCACGTGTTATCATAGCCAATGGATGGCAGAGATAATTAAGAAATGTGCCACAGGCATTGCTGCTGTACTATCTTGTTCCCACAAAGAATGCCTGTAATTGTTTCTTATCTACACCTCATTGTGGCCTATGGTTGAGGAATGTTGGGCAGGGGACTATTTGCATGCAGGTCCACCTTGAAAACGAGTTCTGTGGATGCACCAATACTTGAAGGGATATATTGCTTTGTAGCTGTAACAGACAGGAACACAGAGACACAACGCTCACTATAGTACAAAGTGCAAATGTATTAGTCTTTGGGAACACCCAGGAGCCTCAAAATTGCCGGACATTGGCGTTTCCTGCAAGGATAGGTTGTTTTTCATTTTTCACGATTCACTCCTCTGCCAATTGTGTGCAAATTTCAAGAATTGCGTGCGCTATTCGCATAAAGGGATGAAATTTTGAAAACCTACCCTCGTCCTTCCTCACTTGTTCATTTTCCCCTCTCTTCTCCCTCTCCCTCTCCACCTGAGGCTAGCGCTTCAACCCGCTTTCTACAACATTTCTGCATGGAGGAGTTTAGATGGGCCCAACGCAGCAGATTGTACAGTCACAACTTCTTTATTGAAGAGTATGCTTTCTAGCCTAGTCCTTTAGCAGCTGAAGAGTTTAATATTTTACAACATTTTGAATGCAACAAAAGCGAACCTTGTTACTAAAAGAGAGGTAGAGTTTTAAGAGCGTTTTCCACCGATGAATATAAATTTTACATTACAATCACCAACAGGGCACTCTTTAAGAGAAGCATCATCAACTCCAGCATCTCGAAACGCCTTTAGGGCTAACTCATCAGTAATATGGATATTTGGAAAACTTCTGTCCCCAATGGTGTAATAACCAATTTTATTCTCAACACCATAGTAAAATATCGATCCTCCAGGCTTCACTAACTGGACAAGGCGGGCTACATTTGAACAATATTCTTCTTGTGTACTTGAAGCCCCCTCTAGTACAAGTGAACACATAACAACATCATACTGGGTATCATATCCTTGCTGAATTGGCGGGTCCTTGCGGATGTCACAGTGAACCAAGCCCTTAATCAGTTTTCGAACCTTAGTTTCCCTTTCTTTAACTTGCTCTTCTCCTCCTCCTTCGAGCTCTTGGACAACATACGTAAAGTAAGGGGACCAGTCAAAAGCGTTTGGCTCGCAATTCAGCCATTGATCAAGAAATTCTATGTTTTCCTCGGCGTATTCGGCGAGAACTATATCCGAAGCCTTGGTAGCGGCTGATATTGCTGATGCAATGGAGGGACCAGCGCCATAATCCAGTACTTTCAGTCCGTTAGGAACTGTGAGAAAGGAGTCGTGAAAGCACAGCAGCTTTTGCTTCAGGTAGAGGGATATATCGGACGGACTGAAAGCTTCGTAGTATTGTTTTAAGAACACGGATGGTTGAAATGCTTTCTTATAATCCTTAAGAAGGACATTGGTCGCCTTCGGATTGTAGAACATTGAAACTCCGCTGTCATTGGATGCCATAACGACGATCAGGTTGTTCAAAATGCTTGTGCTACAAATGGTTGTGATACTGGTTTTCATAGTACGCATACTGGTGCGCCACGACGCGCCAATAAACACACCCATATTTGCGGGGTAGTCTCGCGGAGCCACGCCTTCTCAATCCGCTTGTTCCCTATTGCAGTAATTCCTGCAAGACCAAAACACAGGATTTTGCCACGTCACGTAAATCGCCCAGGTTGTCGCGCGGAACTGCTCTGTCTTCTAACTGTTTTGACTCGAATAGTCTGCTGCGCTCGGGTCGTTTTCCCCAGTTAATGAGGACAGTCCTGACTGGATTGTGTCTTTGAAGATGGCATGATCCGGGATATCAATGACCCGTATATACTTGATTCATGAGCGGGCAAAGGAAAAGCAAGCTAAGCAGGTTAGGAAGACGATGGAATGATTGTGATGTCCTAGGTTCAGAGTCAGAACCCAGTCAGAATTGTTGTCACCAACAGGCTACTATGAAACTGACTCTGCGACTTTGGGTAGTCTTGCATGAGTATTCAGGGTACGGAAGGGAACTTTGAGCCAACTGCTGAATTGGAAACACAGTATCTTCTGTAACAGTACACAAGACTTCAAAAACTGGATAGACGACTGTAAACTTTACTCACAATGTTTTACACAAAGCTCGGTGTACATGTTTGTCATAATAGTACTATGATGTATGAATACAAAACATACAAGTGGCAGCAAAAACAAACTCACTCATCAGAGCTTTCGAACGGTAGTTAAAATTGTGTGTTGTTCTTCATCTCAAACTCCTCAGATGACTACCACCATCTAACAGCTGCTGGGATTTTAGGAGTGGAGGTCCGGCATTTTGAAGAACTTGATGTATGTGAAATAGCACTGACAAAACATAATCACTGTTCTCCCTTTTCCTCCAACTGGACAAAATCGTGCATGCCTGAGGATCACAAAACTCCCCATTTTCATAGTTTAATATGCAAACAGTGGTCACTGCCACACATGGAAGCGCACGCCGAATGCCGCGGCCCACATCGCTTATCCAAATGCATGCACTGTTTGCTCGTTAGCGCAAGATGAGCGGACTCAAGCTCACGACAGGTCCCCTGTGTGCCACCCAGCAATAATGTTTAAAATTACATTCCTCGTGAGCTGGATCAGGTAACCTTGTGTTGGTTACATACAGTGGAACCTCCGATAAGGGACCCTCCGAGATAGAGATGACCTCTCTACAAAGGACACTTGTTTCAATCCCATGATAATTAGACTTTAGTGTATTATGTTTGAGATAGCCATTGGATGGTGCTGGAACCCCCATAACAAAGGTGATCCAGTTCAGGCTCTCTGGCCCGGACACTTTCCTCAGCTTCATGTTCTGTTGCAAGGTGCATTTGACTAATAGTGAATGGTATGTTGAGAAAAAGCTCCTCTTTCTGATGGGATCCAGATGCCAATGTAGCTAGCTAATTTCAGCGCTGCAGCTCTTGCAGGCCTTCATGTGTATGAATCTGCGGGTTGAGCAAGTTTGTGAAAATGTGAGGTCCATGCCACAAGGAGTTGTGTTGGGTCGGATAACAGTTTGACACTACTACGCACCCTTGTACACTTCAAATATTTTCTTTTCTTGTGGCAACCTGAAGCATGAGTTAGCCTTCTTTCTGAACAGATATTCACTTCTCTGTATTCTCTTCTTTTCCTCCATAGCCCCACACGCATTGATGTGTCTCCTCACTTCATTGCAAGCATAGCATTTGGCTTCATACTGCAGCCCCTCATTTGGCCTGCCCCCATCTTTCCTTGCTTTCCATACAACCTTGCTCTGGGCACATAACTTAGATTAAGTGCTATCTTTGAAACGACTCACTTTCTTATATTCATAGTGTGGTAGAAAGGCCTCTGCTGCCTCCTTCATCAATGTCGCTACATGCTTAATCTCATCATCTAGTTGCTCAACATCAGAGCGTGGTTAGCCAATGAAAGGGCTGGAGCTGTCCCTTAAAGCCTCCTGAAACAACATAAGTGATCAGCTTTAGTCCAATCAATTCTGACAGCTTGATAGATAGTGGGAGGTGGTCAGACTCGAGTTCAACCATGTCTAGTAGTCCTTCCCTAGGTCAGCGCATGGTAGATAGACGCTAATCATCGATAGCCACGTCTCATCATCTTTCTTGTCACAAAATATTCTGTCAGGATTGGAAAGACATCCTGGGATTTCTCACTCTTCCACAGCCTCTACTCTTGTCATGTGCTGTTTCCAACAGTTTGGAGTGGGCATGCCCAAAGCCAGTGAAGCTTGGATGAAATTCTGCCTGCCAAGCCCCCTCATGTTCCAGCTCCAACCAGTCCACCTTCATTGAGTGAGATTTGGGTTGCTTCTTCATATAACCAGTATTGGGATTAGGCCATAGATATGTGAGTATATAGTACAGTAGATAGGTGTAGTAATAACAGTGAAGGACTTAGAAAATAAAGATAATAAAATTTCCCAGCCAGGCAGCCAGCTCGAAATGGTGGACTGGTCAAGGAATAGGCCTAGGGCAAGGGCTAGGGTTCGATTCTCTTCATGAGATTTGTAAGGGCTGAGTAGCGCAGATTGAACACCGATGGAGCTACTATATACATGGGACATGCATTCTTTTAAAGCCTGGTGTCTAGCTAGAGCAAAATGAAGCCACTACCGATAAAATGTCCAGAAAATTCTTTGGACAATCCCCATATTCACAACCTGAACCATTGGCTCTCCCGTTTTGGTGTGGACGGTTAACAGCAAAATGTAAAGCCTTACCTGCCTTCTTCTGCTTCAAGTATTCTCTCCTGTCGTAATATATGAGGTGAGTAAAATGGGGATGTAGGATTGGAGAACAATACTTTCACGCTCACAACCCAGCACACTAAATCTCAAGGCTAACACTTCAAGGTAGTAGAGTTAGTCAATGTACTATACCTAAACAGCTAGCTACCACTTGAACTTGCATTTGTAGTGGTTACTTTAGTGCGACTTAAACTTGAGACTCGAAACTTGAGACCCAGTGTGGCATTAATTAAACCCTTCGGGCGCCATTTACATATTATATATATGCACAGAGCCTCCATAAGTGCATAAGAATTTATATATGGCTATAATACTAGGCGCTAATATGTTGTACATGAATCTGCTTATTTAAGGAGACACATGGCGTCCAAAGGGTTTTAAAGAATCGTTCTGCAGAAAGTGCTGACTAAGCGGGTTGACTGGGTTGCGTGGGCGAACATACGTCTCTAAGGTGATGCATGCCCACTCCAACCCAGAGCCTGCACAACCTCCTCTGGACTGCGACTATAGTTGCAGAGGGTAGCTACCTGTCGTTGATGCTATCGTCACCTGACTATTTCTTCCGCGCGTGATATTATTATTATTATTGATTGATTGATGCACACACCAGTAAAGGTATATACAGAATAGACAGACAACATAAAAAAGAATAGAGAGAAAGTGGAGAGCAGAACACGGCCTTCTGGACTCTATCCCGTCGCCAACCGAGGGCTTAAGGGCTCCTGGACCGACCGCAGAGCACTCACCATAATAACGATTACAAAGAGGACAAATGAGAAATGATACCTTCACAGGGAGAATGAAGACCATAAAGATGTCTGAGATGTCTAATAAAAGAAGCTGTAGTGAAGTCAGAATAGTTATAATCAGAAAGATGTTGAATGCCATAGAAATTATTATACCCAGTGAAAGAATAAACGACTTGGGATGAAACTATAAAAACAGAACGAACTAAAGATGAGGACGATGAAACAGCAGTAGACAACAGGGAGCAGAAACGACTGTACACCATAGAAGATATTGTATCGATCTGAGCAACACAATGGACAATAGCTGAATGAGAATTGCGGAGTAAGTTCCAGAGTTTACGTAATAGTTTATTCAAAGCGACTTCAATAACCCTGATGGAGGACGACGAGAGTGACCATAAAGAGTAGCCATACAAAGATAGGCAAAAGGACTTAAGCAAATAGCACTTCACAAATGGGTCAGCTGCATGAAAGGCACAGAGTAGATAATTGGCCTTACGATTCAGATCTTTGACAACTCCGAGAATATCACTACTGTCATTTAGATCAGATGTGAGAATGTGACCAAGATGAGTAACTTCATTAGAATAGCGCAGGACGTGGTTGTTGAATATGAAGACAGGAGAACTAGGTTGGGTATGACGAATACGAAAACAAATAAGCTGAGTCTTTTCAGCATTAAACTTGAGACCATGAGTAGACGCATACGAAGAACATAATATATGTTTAGCAGAGTTCTAAGTGCCGATGCACAAGGAGCCAGCAACACAATGCCATCAGCATAACAAACAGAACCAGCAAACAAGTTGCCCCAAGTTACTAGAGTGCATAGGTCAGGAAAATGCGACTGGACCTGAAAACAAGAGCAAGGGTTGTACATCTACAAAGACAGCTGCGCGTCATGGTGTTGGGTGTTTTTATTAACCCTCGGTGCGCAATCTCACTTCTCGGGTGTTTGTTCGTCTCACAAAGGATACGACCCAATACGGGCAATGAAGGTCAGAAATTTCTAACGTTTTTTTTCTGAAACTGCTCCGTTGCAAAGCTAGAGCTCGAAAAAGCCAATATGCAAATACACAACGGACGCTTACAACAGTCGGATCGATCCGCGTGCTCTGCGTACTTCGGAGGCACCAGAAGATGCAACGCAGGGCGTGTATCGCCTCTGGCATACTATCTAGTAGTGTAGTTAGCCCGCGTTAGAATCTGCGCGAGCTGGCAAGGGACCAGCTAAAACTAAACCCAGCCCATCAATTAGTGGTACGGCGCATGCGTTTACTTACGCGTGCTGGCCACAGCACAGTGCGCCGAGGGTTTGCACTTCAGTGCTTTTCATTAACCCTCGGCTCGCATGCGCAGCGAGGGTTACGGTAGTCGTTCTGTCTGTCTGTCTGTCTGTCTGTCTGTCCGCGCGAGTTCTAGCACTACAGGCTACGAGGCGGCCAATGAGTGGCACCAACGGGTTGTGAACGACGAGAAGATTGATATCAATGTGGCGATTTTCCCGAAACGACTGCGTTCGAGAGATATGGCGTGAAAACAAGCGAAAAAGCTTACGCGAGCGATTCATCGCGCACGCGCGTATGTGGGTGTATCGTTTTGCCGGAGCATCAGACGCGAGCGATCCATCGCGCACGCGCGTATGTCGTTTGCCGGAGCATGCGCATCTACTAGATTCCGCGTGGTTTAGTTGACCTTTGACGAGCAAGCGATTTTTGAGTTTCTCTCCTCAGTCATTGTTGATCTCTGTTCTCGATGGACAACAAATTGAGCAAGGTATGTCCGCAACGTTCATAATCGTACTGGGCTTACCGCGACCTGATCCGCTCGCTCTGTGTACCTTTGGGGCTCAGAAAGTCACAACGAACGGCATGTATCGACTCCCGCATGCTATCTACTATGAAGTGCCGTTTGTCTCAGAACTACTTTTCTTGGACCAAGCCTAAACGTCGTGTGAATTTACGCGAGAGTTTAGCTAAATCTCGCATAATTCTAGCAATCGTCGCATAAGTTTAGCTAATCTGCGCATGACTTTAGCAATCGTCGCACGACTTTAGGCTAACACCGCATGACTTTAGCTAAACACCGCACGATTTTAGCTAATCAGCGCATGACTTTAGGGCTATACGCTGCAGATTTTGCATCCGTTGTCGATTAGTAGCTAAATTCGCGTTACTTTATCATTTATTTAGCTAACGTCGACGACCAAAGCTAAATGCATGGGTTTTTAGCTGTAGTAATGCCCTTTTAGCTAAACGCAACGGTGGATACTAAAGTCATGCGCAGATTAGCTAAACTCGTGCGACGATTGCTAGAATCATGCGAGATTTAGCTAAAACGATATTTACGTAAATTCACGCGACGTTTAGGCTTGTTCCAAAAATGTAGTTCTGAGACAAACGGCACTTCATAATCTACTACTGTAGCTAGCCCGTGTCAGACTCGCGACGTGAGCAGTATCGCGTGTATATGCGCAGTTCGCCGAGGGTTTGCACTTTAGTGCTTTTCATTAGAACAGCAGGGGTTGTCATACGCATGCACGATCCTTACATGCCACACTCCCAAACGTTCTTGAACACGGGCGCACATGTATACGCGTTCGCGTTGCCAGAGGCCCAAAACGCGTTCGCTTGGCGTATGAAATGCGGTCGAACGAGGACTGAAACGCGTTTTCTTGGCGTGTCACTCCATCCCCAGCTCTTTTAGACCAAGAGTTCCGGCTGTGTCTCAAATATTGGTTGGGCGTCAGAATGGCAGACGATGTCAGCTCCTGTTCTGCATGTGGCAAATCCGCAGCTGCTGACCCATTTGGTGATCATCAAGTGGGTTGTGGAGGCAATGGGGACCGAATCCACCGACACGACGCTATCCGGGACGCCCTTTTTTCAGCCGCCCAATCCGCGGCACTGGCCCCTAGAAAAGAGGTCCCTACCCTGATCCCAGGCACCAGATCCCGTCCGGCCGACGTACTTCTCCCGAACTGGTGCAGGGGGCACCCTGCTGCCTTGGACGTTACTGTTATCTCCACTATGCAACCGCTCACACTACCAGGAGCTGCTTCCGAGAAGGGGTATGCTCTGAAAGTGGCAGAGGAAAGAAAGATGGTAGCTCACAATGCCGAATGTAGAGGCGCAGGAGTGTCGTTTGTTCCCCTTGCTGTGGAATCGTTGGGAGGTTGGAGCCATCTCGCAGCCATACAAATCTCCAGAATCGGCAGATTAGTTGGTCAGAGGCTTGGTATATACCTCCCCCACGGAAGCAGTTTCACATTTATTCCAGCGCTTGTGTATCTGTTTGTGGAGAGGAAATGCTACTATGTGGGCTCGCCGCCTTCCGTCTCACTCAGCTTGGACTGATGGGATCATTTAGATATTTTTTTGGATTGTTTTTTGTTTTGTTTTTTGTTGTTGTTGATGTTGTATATTTTTATTTATTTTTGGGTTTTTTGTGTTCTTTGTTTTTTTTGGTTTCTGCGCTTTGTTTATTTTGACGACGTAAAAAAAAGAGGACTGAATCGCGTTCGCTTCGCGTGTAAAACGCATTCGTTCCGCGTGCGAAACGCGTTTGCTATATACCTTGCGTTCGACGAGTATCTACTGTACATAGGAGGCATCTGAAGTTACAACTGAGGGTGATTTTCAATTCTGTCACGCGTGTGCGCGCGCCGAGGCCCACAGCACAATGTACTGTGGCCCATTTGGGTATTCCGCTCTGAACCAGTCAGCACAGGAACAGAATGCCTCCGAACTTTTGTGCACTGTAAAGTTCCGTCCTGCAATGCTGTCTGAGCAAGCTAGCAATAAACAACACATTATTTCCAAGGTATGTAGAACCAACATTAAAGATACATGGAGTAAATAATGCTGATGCATTATACCTAAAAAAGAAAACCCATTGATAATTATTATTGGGGTTTTGTTACTCATTTCAATAAACGGCGCAGAATCTTCCCAGAAGCAGACTTAGGAATGGCGTCAACAAATTGGACCCCACCTACTAGATGCTTGTGTTTGGCAACCCTCCTAGCAATGTACTCCTCCACCTCTCTCTCCTGGAGACTGCAGTCGTCCTTCACAACGTAGGCTCTCGGAGCCTCCCCCAGTCTCTCGTCGGTCACTCCGACGACTGCGGCATCGGCGATCTTCTCGTGGGTCACCAAGAGAGCTTCCAGCTCTGCCGGGGCCACCTGCAAACCCTTCACCTTGATCAGCTCCTTGAGTCGGTCTGTGATGTAGAACCAGCCGTCCTTGTCAAAGTGGCCAATGTCCCCGGTACGAAACCAACCGTCACCGGTGATACAGCTCCTGGTGGCATCCGGAAGATTAAGGTAACCTTTCATGATGTTTGGACCCCTGATCAGAACCTCTCCTTCTTCCCCAGCTGATAGGGCCTCATTGGTTTCAGGGTCCACCACTTTTACATCCATACTCTTGATTGGAACTCCAACAGACTGTGGTTTTTCCTTGCTGAGGGAAGCAGGAGCCATGTGTACGCATCCACTTTCTGTTAGTCCATAAACTTGTCTAATTACATCACACTTCAATCTACTTCTGGCAGTTTCGACCAACTCTCTACCTAGTGGGGCTGCCCCTGCAGTGATTTGCCTAATGCAAGAGAGGTCATAGTTAACCACTGTTGGATGCTTGGCAAGAAAAAGAATGAGAGGAGGAACAACGTGGACTAGTTCTGTCTTAAACTTGGTGATTGCATTCAGGAAGAGTTCAGGCTCAAACTTGGATAGAGACACTACCTTGCTGCCTGCATACAATGATGAGAATAGAACTGTAACCATGCCATACATGTGGAAGAAAGGTAACACACCAAGGAGTGTGGTACCTTCCTTGTGTAAGTAGAGGAGTTCAGAATGTCCCAGTTGGAGAATGTTGGTAGTGATATTGTAGTGTGTCACCATTACACCTTTCGGTAATCCAGTTGTTCCGCTAGAATATGGGAGGACGGCTATATCTTGTTTGGCATCGACAAAGACTTGGTTGAAAGCAGAACCACTATCCTCCAGAAGATGATCATAGGCAATCAGATTAGAGCTCCTGTTACAACTTTCCCCTTCTCTACCAATCGCAATGATTTTCTTGACCCCTACCTTCTCAGCCGCCTTCTGGACAGTTGGCAAAAGTGCAGGGACAGTGGCAATCATGTCAGTGGCTGAGTTCTCAAACTGGTAGGCGAGTTCCCCTGCAGTGTAGGTGGGGTTGACGGGACTGACCGTCCCGCCTGAGGCCAAAGCCCCAAAGAACACGGAGCAATACTCAGGGACATTGGGAGAGCAAATGGAGAGGATGCTACCTCGGGAGAACCCCATACGGTTTAGAGCATATGTTTGCACCTGAGCGAGCTGTAGATCTCCACGCTCGGGTTGATTCAGTGAATTTTCCATGTGATTTTCAGATGTAAAAATGATTGAATGGTGAGCGAATGCAGTGAGAAACTTTGACGAGTTGTTTAGGATAAAAGAATATTATGTTACAATTTTGAAAACAGTTCAAAGGGCATGCCACTGTGCTCGCTCTCCATGAATGTGATGTGTGTAAAATGGTTTTGTTTGTTCAAACCCGAGCGAGCTGTTGCTAAGAGAACTCCACACTCGGGTTATGTGTGGACCTGCGAATGAGTTGTTGCTAGGATCGATCTCCACACTCAGGTATATGTATGTGTGCACCTGAGTCAGTTGTTACTGTGAGATCTCCACACTCGGGTTGTAACAGGATCCCAAAGAGGGTAGCTGTTTGTATGGAACTTGACACTGCATTAATTGTATGTTTTGAAGAGTGGATGTGAAATGGATAATGTGTATTGTACCAACTAGCAGGTAACAAAGTTGACAGTGAAAATATGCCCTCTGTCAGTGTGTATTTTACTAAAGCACTTGTGCACATTTTTATGTGCAGAACTGTCACTGACCTGTAAGTGGGTGCCTAATAACATCCACTCTTCACGGTGGATTCACACTGCCAGGACAGAACCATACAGTAAACCCTGGCATGGATAACTCTATATAGGCCAACTATTTTTGCGGTGTGAATCCACTTGTGAGTGACGACATTGTGGGGCAGTCATCTCTGTGTATGTATGAATTGAGACTGTCCCATGATGGGCCTTCAACCTCCTCGTGGTGTCACTTGGGAGGAAGTTGCACACAGTTTTTTTTTGTTTGCAACTCCCTGCGAATAGAAGGAAAAACAAGAACGTGTGTGATGTATGTTATTCCCCCATAAATGTGTTCAATATCAACCTGGAGGTCTTGCATGTTTTCCTTCTGTTAGTTCCTTCTCTGTTGGATGCGGACACTGCATTGTACATGCATGTTATGAAGAGTGGATGTGGAATTATTGTGTGTATGTATGGACGGAGCAGCCTTTCACTAACCACTCTGCCGATGCTAAAGGCCACTAGTAAGTTGAGTCTACATTCAGTATTTGACCTAAATGTACTTGCAAGAGGTTGGTCAATGTCTTTGTGCATGTCATGTGATATATACACCTGATGCCTGATCACATGACATGCCTGCCATTGACATAAAGGAGTGCACGCCCTCATGGGTTGGTACGTACTATAATGGCACCACTAATACTGATTGGGCTAGAGAGAAGGCCCAATGAGGGTTTGTGGACTAATCTATCCTGCAGGATCAGGGTCCCATTCTTAGCAGTGATGATGAGGAAATGATTACCAACTACTTTACACGGGTGAGTCTCAAACACGAACATGTTTTGTTCCACTGACATGCTACCTTGTCAAATGCAAGCTCTCTGTAAAAATTTTATACCGAGTGTCGCAGACGTATGCATGATATAGTGCTACAAACTGGCAGACAGCCATAGCTGTTGGATAATTGAGAGTGCTATAATTGGTGGTTTTCCCTGTACTAGATCAAGCATTGTTAGGGAGTGAATGTGTGTATTTTTACGAATTTACATAATACGTGCGATATGTACTGCACTATGGAAACCATGCAATTCAGATTGGTATATAATATTATATAAGCTATATTGCTATCTCCTGTTTCTTTCAGTATGTCGCTGAACAAGCAAGGCTTGTAAGAACAAAGAAAAAGGAGTCAGTCGACCAGTTCAAAAGCTCCATCATACATATTGTATGCTAGGACACACAATAGTAGTACAGTGGAACCCCTCTCTCTCTCTGTCTGTCTCTCTGGTTCCATTGAGCAGGAGAAGGTTCCTGGGTCAACCAGCAGCTCTATTATAATGACCTGTCACTGGCCAATAACTCATGTAGACACTAAGGAGAGCCCTATTGGTGGGCCTTTATCTATTGTAGAGCTCACTCAAGTCTTTCAAACCAATTAGAATCAGAGCCCACTGGAATGACAGGAAGGCGATAGAAGACAATCACGTTAAAATCTAAGCCAGCTAGGCTCTGTCGCTCGCACAGTAGCTGGCTTAGATTTTAGCATGATCGTCTTCTTCTATCATCCTGCCATAAGTTCATACTGAATTCATCACTGTGTTAGACTTTGACATTGTTCCCCATTCTTGGACTGCACTGAACAATTAAAGCACTGCATATATATGCTTCAATAACATACATTTTCCCAAACAATCTCTGAGCACATAGACATATATAACAAGGCTTTTGTTCTGCAAATCAACTGTGATGAGCCCGAAGGTAAATTCCATGGTAGCCCACAAGATTGTGAATGTGCAGTGTAATTATCTGCTCACACTGGTTCATGCATTACGCAACCTCGAGTATGTCACTTGTCTATGAAACTGAATTATGTAAAGAGAAGGTACAAGTGCAATAACAAAGTGAGTGACTGGAGACTGGGACCTCCGCGGAGACGAGGGGAGTGAGGGAGCCTGGAGACGAGGGGACTGTGGATGATGTTGAGGAGGGGCGAGAGAGGCAGAAAAGCGCCGTGCACAACTGCTGGGCAAACTTCCGAGTTAGCTTGAGAGAGACGCCGCGGAAGTTGGTGTTGCGGAGGAGTTCGTAGACATTGTAGGAGACGAGCTCAAAGACGAGACAGAGCTGGTTTTGGAACATGAAGTGGCGGCTTCCGTGTCGTAGGCCTTCACCACCTGTAGACAGGTAGAAGAAGGGGGAGGGGGGGAGTTAGTATGCATTGTTATACTGTTACACACAATAACAACTGCATACGAGATCACTGAAACTGTGCAGCTAGAACACATCAACAATTATTTCCTTTGTTCTGTCAAGCCTAATTACCCCAGGAGCTAATATTAAGGGCTGTGTGTCTCCAATAGGCGTGTCATATGCGAGCAAGACACGCACAACAAAGTCCATACCGCCTGAGAAACACACTAACAAACTAACACATTCCACAGTGTTCTGGACACCTCAACAGGAGGAGCCGGAGTTTCACTCACTTCATTGATCCTGCAGTATGTCTTGACGAGACAGTTTCCTGGGCTGGCCACTGCCGGGGAGTGACTGGAGACTGGGACCTCCACCGTCTCGCACCTAGCACCGTTCAGCAGCTCAGCACAGCGAGCCGTCAGCTGCTCCGAGGCATCTGGGCAGCCTCAGTGATGGAGACCTGGAGACGAGGGGAGTGAGGGAGCCTGGAGACGAGGGGAGTGAGGGAGACCTGGAGACGAGGGGAGTGAGGGAGACCTGGAGACGGGAGACGTGGGGAGTAATGGAGACCTGGAGACGAGGGGAGTGAGGGAGCCTGGAGACGAGGGGAGTGAGGGAGCCTGGAGACGAGGGGAGCGAGGGAGCCTGGAGACGAGGGGAGTGAGGGAGTCTGGAGACGAGGGGAGTGAGGGAGTCTGGAGACGAGGGGAGTGAGGGAGCCTGGAGACGAGAGGGAGTGAGGGAGACCTGGAGACGAGGGGAGTGAGGGAGACCTGGAGACGAGGGGAGTGAGGGAGCCTGGAGACGAGGGGAGTGAGGGAGCCTGGAGACGAGGGGAGTGAGGGAGACCTGGAGACGAGGGGAGTGAGGGAGCCTGGAGACGAGGGGAGTGAGGGAGACCTGGAGACGAGGGGAGTGGAGACGAGGGGAGTGAGGGAGACCTGGAGACGGGAGACGTGGGGAGTGAGGGAGCCTGGAGACGAGGGGAGTGAGGAGACAGAGGTGGAAGGGAAGAAAGAGGAGGAGACAGAGGGGAAGAAAGGAGAGTGCGTTGATCCAGCTGGATCAACGCCCTCCATGGAGCCCTCCTACGACTACGAGCACCGCCTCTATCCTCTTCTTGAGGCTGCTCTCCACTTCCTCGAACCTCTGCACGAGGCTGTTCTCCACTTTCTGGAGCCTCTGCTCGAGGCTGTTCTCCACTTCCTTGAACCTCTGCTGGAGGCTGTTCTCGAGCCTCTGCTGGAGGCTGCTCTCGAGCCTCTTCTCCAACTTCTTATCCAACCTCTCCTCCATCTCCAAGATCCTCTCCTCCGCCCTCATCTGAATATTGCGGGTGATCCTCTCCAGGTCCTCAGCCTTCCCTATCCCAGAGCCACGTGACCCGATTGATAGACCCCTCATCAACTTCTCCGGCCCCATCAAAACTCTCTCCATGTGGTCCATGAATCGGACCAGGTGCTCCAGGCTCCTCGTCACATAGGGGTAATGTAGGAGTGTGGTCTCTCTGCCCATCTCCTTCACTTCGATCACAGTGATATGTTCGTGGTTCACAGTCAAACCTGGGAAGGTTTTGATGATAAACACACCACAAAAGGGCAAACATCCCAACTTCAAAGGAACAGCAGGCATTCAGTGCTGTCTCTATCGTTACATTTATGACCAATGGTGGCTTGTGAACAATGGTCATGCCCAAAAAAGGCAAGACATAGGTTTGAATACCTAGTACATACTCAGCAAATTTCCATTGTTCTGAGGCCTAGCCAGGGTACAAGTAGTAGATAGGTTACCAAGGACAAACTCTAATTGTTGAAAGCTGTATATAGCAGGTCGTCGTCGTTGTCCTCCAGCTCTTTCGGACGTCTTCCCGCCATAAGATCAGATCAGATAATGCAGCTCAAACAGCGACCGATTTCGAAAGCGCAGCGTGGTTGTAGTTGAGCGTAGGTTCTGCTTTGCGAGCGCGCGCCTCCAACGCCCACTCACGATCACTTACTTAGCTGTATGTCACATAAGCAAAGTACGCGACGTTCCTTTGACCACGAAAAATCACGCGGGTCCAATGTGCGCGCTTAGAACCACGAAGAATTATACCCTCCGGTCCTTGCCCTCTCTTCCCCTCTTCTCTCTCTTCTCCTCTATTCCCTCCTCTTTCTCTCTTTTCCTTTCCTCCCTCCTCTCTCTTTCTCTCTTTTCCTCTCCTCCCTCCCCTCTCTTCTCCTCTCCTCCCTCCCCTCTCTTCTCTCCTTTCTCCCATCTTTTCACCTCTCACTCTTGTGTCAAGGTGTAAAGGAAAAGCAAACAGGTCAACTACACCCAGGACAACTCTTGTAAGGAAAAAGGGAGCTGCCCCAGAACCAAAAGACACTCCGCTCTGTATAGGAGTGCTCTACCAACAGAGCTACCATGGCAACTCAGCCAGTAGGGGTTCACATTTTCAACACAACACAAGGCAAACCTCAAACCACTGTGCTATGGCACAGTAAACTCTCACTCAGTATGTAGGAGCAGACCAGGGTAATTAAACCACCAAAGACGCCCAAATTCAAACTGAGTATATCAACAAGTGAGGTTGAAACACAAGGCAAAGCAAAGGAGCCAACTACACCCAGGGGAGGTGCTGTGGGCAAACAGGAATTTTGCCCAATTATGTATAAGGCAAAAGCTGTGTAGCATACTAGTGTTAATGTGTGGAGATAGAGACACAGAGAGTGGTTGGTAAGGGGTAATAGGATCAGGGCGTAGGAAGCGTAGCGACCACAGCGGCTGTGGCCGTACCACTTTCAGTACGAGTTGGCCGCTATGGCACGCGCGTACGTGGGTACGCATACGCACGCGGAGCTCTCACAAGGCAAATGACTTTTGTAACACGGAACATCGTCGTCATATTTCCGGCACTTTTTATTATTTGTATCAAGCTATGTTATTGTGATTTACTGCAGGCACATGCAAACATATCAGCTAAGCAGGGCCGTGGAACATTTTTAAAGCTTCCTACGCCCCTGGGGATTGTGGTAACATGATAATTAACAGTAAAGCCAGGAACGATCTCTGGGAAAATATTTTCTCGGGATCGTTTTCGTCCTTTATATTTATAGTGGGAGGACTCATCAGCCGGCCCCACTTGGCACATACACATGCACATTCTTACTGGAAAGTGGTCTGTGCGAAACAGAACATATCACGTGAGCATTCCACAGTACTACTCTCTTTGGGAGAGAGCTACGCAATACCACAGAATCCGTTGCTAGTTCACAGGCAAACTGCAACAAGCAATGCAACTAGCCAATGGTTGCCTGTGAACTAGCGACTGATCCTCTTTCCCTTCTCTTGCTCAGAAAGTAATGTTAACAATGCAGCTGGTATCCACACTCATAAGGATGAATTTTAAGCATTTTCTTGGTTTTGTTAGTGGTGTGTAGAGTTAATTTTATAAATCAGTGGCAATCTAAAAGTCAGAACAACCAAAGAGTAGCAACAGACCCTCTTCCAGAGACTTTGACTACCCACAATGTCTGTGTTGGGCACATGGTAAGAGTAGCCAGCAGGAACTTGCAACTAACAGCAGTCCAATAAAATCTTCACAGTATCAATTAAAGTGCAAACCTTCCTGAACTGCGCATGAGGGGTACCGCTAATTGATGGGCTAGGCCTATTAAACTAGTATACGTTTACTCGTGATCTCCCGCTAGTAGCTCGACACGGGCTAGCTACAGTAGTAGGCGATACACGCCCTTCGTTGTGGCTTCTTGTGCCTCCGAGGTACACAGAGCAAGCGGATCAAGTCGAGGTAAGCCAGTGCTAATTAGCATATTGGCTTGTTCACTTGGTTTTCACGCCATAACTTCTGAACGCGGCACTTTTACGAAAATCGCCTATTTTAAAATAAAGCCAGTGTAGCGCTGAACCCGCTGGTGTCGCTATTTTACCTGTTTGTTGCGCGTGGTGGCAGAAATCGTGGTAACAGACGGACAGACAGACAGACAGACAGACAGACAGACGACTACTGTAACCCTCCCTGCGCATGCGCCTGCTGAGGGTTAATAAAGTAGCCACAGGTTGGTCAAGCACAACACCACAGTTTACACAGGCAGTAGTAGGTCTGCCTTACAAGGAACCGCTGGAATTCCAATAGGCCTGCCACACCATCATTATCTATCTTTTCACAGGCACCCAGAAGGATCATGTAATCACACACACAGAGATTTTGCCAGGCAGAGACATGTGAGCGATAATATAGTCAATAGGTCTCCACCTCTCACCTGCAAAATTCTAAATAAGGCTCTGTTACAACTGTATGTCCTTAGTATGAGTATAATGGGAATGGGTCACATACACAAAAAATAGCATTTGAGAAGGCATGTGACTGGTGTGTATTTACAAACAACAAATACTCTTCGGCAACTCCTCTCCCAACCCAAAGATCATGTTCATAAAGACAAACAGTCAGGTGTCGTGTATTCAATACCTTGCAAGGATTGTTCTAGTTTTTACATCGGAGAGACCGGGTTACATCTGTCAACGAGGCTACAACAACACAAAGAAGCCACCAGAAAAGGAGATGCAGACAAGTCGGCTGTAGCGGAACATGTATGGGACAAGTCACACAATATAGATTGGACAAATGTTATTATTCTAGACCACGACCGACACTCCATCTTCAGAAAACTCAGAGAGTCCATCCATATAAGGAGATCCAGTGGAGCCTAGACGATGGCCTTGTAACCTCACACATGTGGGATACACTGTAATGGCTATTGTGCATCTGTCACACTATATAAGAATAGCAGTTCTTTCAGTTGTGTATATTTTAGTCTTCCCTGATGAAGGAACCCGAGAGGGCTCCGAAACGTTGGTCTAACAAGTTTCAGTAACTCTGGCGCAAGCAATAATTCGGAGTTGGAAAGAGAGCTTGCATTTGACAAGGTAGCGTGTCGGTGGATCCAACGAAACATGTTAATGTTTGACACTCACCAGTAGCAGCAGAGGAATGTACTCACTACCGAGAACTCTTTTTGCTGTACGGCTTTGCTCTACCACACACCTATTATATAGTAGATTTCTTGGCTCCTGATCTGTAGTACTGAGCTATGAAATACCTATATTATAGAGCTAATCAGAAGCCAAGAAATGTCCTTTTATACTATAATTATATATCGCAGGAGAATGTAAATTCAATGCCACCTCTTACACAAATTAACCTTTCTCACAATCTTCCATAAAACACTTTTACCTTGTGACCACTATGAACTGCTGTTACAAGTCTTTCCACAATTTTGCATGAGAGCAGCCAAAACCGCTATAAGAAGCCTTCATCCCTCCTATTTGTTTTTACTTAGTGCTAACAGGGCTTGCAGAAATGGTGAATTAGGTCTTACTAATTCTTATTTGTAGCTACCAGAGTAGACACTTAGTTTCCAACATTTCAAGAGGACCTTCCTCAGGGATGAATACAAAACAGAGCTGAGAGGAGATCTAAATACTCAGTGGGTTACAAGAAAACGAACAAGTTATTGCAAAGAGGGGATCCTACACACAAGAAACCTCCAGACCACTGTCTCTGTTTATAAATCTGCCTCCATGTCATCTGATGTGTAGGGCCTCCCTGATCTTCAGACTACATGGAGGCAGATTGATAAACAGAGACAGTGATCTGCCGGTTTCTTGTGTGTGGGATTGCATCTTGCAATAACTTGGTTTTTCTTGTAATCCATAGTGTATTTGATCTCCTCTCAGCTCTTGTTTTGTATATACTCATCCCTTATTCATCTATAAAAAATTTTATGAATTGGCATGCATGAGCTCTCCTAGGGCAGTGTTCATAGGCAGACCAGTTCCTTGGGGACTTGCCTATGATGGAGAGCAAGGAGTGGAAAAGGTTTTTAAAGTTCTCAAAAATGAACACAAAACTGCAATGATGTTGTCAGGTATTAGAGAGTCGGTAGACTCTCTATATAGGGATGACACGGGTGAATGATCCGCGTACAAACGACTAAAAACTCGGTGAGAATGACTCCCTAGGCCTTAAAAACACACTAGCAATAGTCTACGGTTCCATATCTACCTATACATGTTCCCAAACACCTCATACGCACCTTCAGTCGTCCACGCGAGAATTCGTTCATACGCGATTTCACGATTTTCGTGTCATCATAATAATATTATTCTTCATTACCCTCGGCGCGCATGCGCAGCGAGGGTAGTAGTGGTTTGTCTGTGTGTTACTCTACATCTCACCTCTCGAATGTCTGTTCGTCCCAGAAACGATACCATCTAGCTACCCAACGGGTGACGAAGGTCAGAAAATATGTGGGGTTTTCTCTGAAAATGCTCCGTTGAAGAGCTAGAGCGCTTCCACCATTGTACGGCTAATGCGTAGTCGGCCATTTTTATCGCGGCTGCGGAAAACGCGCATGCGCTTATATTTTCAACAGTCGACCGGGTCCGCTTGCTCTGTGTATCTTGAAGGCACAAGAAGTCACAACGAAGGGCGTGTATCGACTCTCGCATACTATCTACTAGCTACAGACTCTCTGCGAGCTACTAGCGGGAGACCACGAGTAAACGCATACTAATAGCAGCCCAGCCCATCAATTAGCGGTACCGCGCATCCCCAGTTCGCCGAGGGTTTGCACTTTAGTGCTTTTCGTCTTCTTCTTCTTTAGACCCGCTTTCTCCTTGCTGGAACAATTTGAAGCGCAAATTTTTTCATTTAATGTCTCCAAATTCGTCAGAGGTGTGCACGGACATCAAGCGATCGTTTCTTTCTTGCCGCAAGTCACTACGGTAGATCATGGAGCTCTTCCATGGTCGACACTGAACAACGCCATTTGCTGCATCAGTGAGCCGCGCGCATGCGCTAGGCAGGGACGTTGTCCAATGCGCTGTGCGGACGTATTACCAGAGTTGACTGACCTG